TTACATTTACAACCGAAGCACTAGGACACATTAGATATTAAAAATGTAACGACGATTAATCTCAAAATACCAATTCAACATTGTATTGAAAACTCCACCCCACCCTCCACATAAACGTTAGACTAACACTGAACTGCATCAACCAGGACATTGGACTAAAAATGAGTTTTACAGATCAGAAACCCGAAACAAACACTGACAATCAATATCACCAGCTGGTCAACATTTGCTTTCATCGTCTGCTTTGAAATAAGTAAATAGGTAATTTAATTAAACGAATAAACTAAAAGCTCATTTTTTTTTGTTTTGTATAGCGAATGTTATTTGAAGCAGCACAATCTAATCAATCAGAAGTAACATATGTTCGGTTTAAGCTTGATAAATGTAGATCGTTAACATTAAATGTTACTAAATTTGTTTACATTATTAATCTGTTTACAGTTTTTAAAACTGGCCTACGTTGTTTGAAAGACGACCGTTTATTGCAATGTCAATTGTACAAAACTACAATTGTTAAACAGTTTTGTAATATAAAATTTGTTTCGTTTTCCAAACGCTATATACGTTCATTAACAATAATTACACATACGTTTAATATTAAACTGATGTAATCTATATTATTTAATAACTACAAATTTGTGAATATATGTTTAAAAGTATTTTGATAGAGTTACAAAAGTATTGTAATGTAATCCAAACTTTGGCAATCTATATAATTCACGAAACGCGATTTATATTGTACATTGTCTGCCATTACTTGTAATCTAATCAATGCCTTTTCAATCCATGTCTATTCTTCTTTAGTAAAAGGTGGTGACGAAATAAAATAGGTAATTTAATTTACTTTCTTTTATGAGGACTGGTACATATTTACAATAGCAATACTTCTTTTGACATGTATTTTTATTCATTTTAATGGTTTACTTATACATAATACATAACTTATAATTAGAATTTCCTTTTTAACCTGAAAATGAAATTTTTTTTTTTTTTTTTTTTTTTTTTGCAAAAATATTTTTTAAAATGTTTTTTAAATTTTCATTTTGTCTTCACATTTTGCTTTGCCCTTCAAATACTATGTTTTCTCCAGAGCGAAGGATCAACACAAAAATATGGTGAACAACTTTTTCACATTTAACAATAGAATATTCGCATGGCTGAACACACAAATCACAAGACAACTAAGCATACAGTATGCAAGGGTAAAAATGAAGAAAGATTTTGATGCAAACCTTATTTGCCGAAACGTTTGTAATAAATTTAAAAAAAAAACTTGCATACTGGATACCTTGATGAGATGTAAACAATATATATATCCCTGCTGCAAACAACCACTAGGCTAACACAATTAACACAGATTAAATAATAACACTATGTGATCTCACATTTAACTCTTGGTTTACTCTTATTAAGAGAAAATAGAAAACAAAATATTTTGCTGCACTGTGACTAGGTCTTTAAATGTAAACAATAGATATATGTTAAATTTGTTTCAGATTAAATTTAACTTTTGAATACTATTAGTCTGTGAAATAAAACATTTATGCTAATACCAGACAGTGATTTGATACAAGCTAATAATAATAAAAAAACTTAAACTTAGCATATAAAATTTTATTATTTTTGGCAGTGTAGAAACAAAAAGGAGTAAAAATTAGGATTTACTTACAACAAAAAATTATAATAAAAACAGGCTATCTATAAAACAATGAATGACAAATGGTCCACAAATATGAGAACAAAATGGTTTATGTTACAAAACATATATGCACATGATAAGATGAACATGATTTTTGTGAAATCATTTACGTAGTTGTTCACTATAACTATAAGGGTTGGACAACATAAAATCTTTGGACAATCGCCAATTAGTAAGCTAATCACTTGATCAGATCCATTCCAGTTGAGACTAAGCTCCTTTTATTCAGTTCAAAAGCCAAAAATTGTATGTTTTTAAATGTAACATAAGTACCAATTAAAAAAACTATGGTTCCAAGCTCAATTAAATATGTCATGTAATTAAATATATTTCTTCATTATTATTCAGGTAAAGCACATGGTGTCAGAACTGTGCAGAGACTTTTAAATCACGGAATTAAATTTTACTTTGTACACCCAACCTTTTACAGGCTATACATCTTCAAAGCACTGACATAACTGTACATTTAATATTATCAAAAATGGTTGCTTCTGGGGAAACACATTCATGTTAATATTTAGAGTACTTTTTCTGTCAATATTAAACAACACAATCATTTAAGATGGTATGTAATTTCAATGCAAAGAATTATATTTTGCCTGTCAAATTAAATCTGCCATATAACTGTAACACCCACTGAGTCAAATCAGAGAACTAGGGATAAGGTTTTATTACAATTTGTTACTTTCTTGTATTTAAGTATAACATGTTGAAACAAAAGCAGAACTGATCAGTACTTGCCTAGATGGTGAGGTTAGTCTTACCCAGCTAAGGCATGTTGCAAAAATAAAAACTTAGCATAAATGCATGTGTATGAAACTACAACAAGCTACTAAACAAGTACGTTTTAGTAGACATACAGCAAAAATCAGAAGCACTTTACTACCTGGTAATTATTATATTGTTGTTAATTATTATAAAAAGATCAATACACTTCTAGATTACAATAAAATAAAACATTTTTAAACAATGAAAGAACGACCTGTCTAACTTTTAAAATATTCCGATATTTACACCAAAGAAGCCAATCTAAAACAATTTAGAGGTATTATCTATTTACTAAATCAAAATTCAGTTATTTTTGTTAAACATAGCTTTAGTTAATAACTCAAAAACACTTAGAAATTTTTTTTACTCTCCCGTTAAAATAAAATGCAGACATACTAAATGAGCCAGGTGGTAAAGTGCCAAGAAAAAAACAACATGAAAGTTGACCAGGATAGTGAGGGTTTTGCTCCAGTGGCGGAACTAGAAAAAAAGGGCCACCCCGCAAAAAAATGGTTTCTCGTGTTATGTTTATTTTTATGTTTTTTTTGTATTTATATTATTTGTTTCAAATATATTTCCTTTTTATTCTATGTCATTCTTTAGTATGCATTTCTTATAAAATAATAATTAAGAGAAGTTATTGCTTTTTAATTTGTTTAGTACAAATACATTAAAAGGAGCTTTTGAACGCTAGCCTCTCTTTCAAACTACAGCTCAGGCATATTTTTTTTTACACAAAAGCATGCGTTAGCTACTGTATAACATCACAACTGTAGCAAATCTGTTTGTTATTTACAAAAAGCTTTTACCGTCAAGTCAAAAATGCAAGAAAATTATTTTTTTACATTGCGGGGTCTGGCGGCACTGTAGTTCCGCCCCTGTTTTGCTCTCGACCCTAACCAGATGTCTTGACTTTAAGCTGCGGCCTTCACGTGGCTTCGGATGTGTGCCACCAGTCGGACCAAGCTCATGCCCCCCCCCCCCCCCCCCTAGTGGGTGCGGGATGGCTAGTGGTAGCCAACAGCAGCTAGAGGTTTTTGATATGGCCGAGTAGAACTGCTGTATGCGTTCGGCTCTTCCGAAGAGCCTGGTACGTCCTGCGTCTGGTGGGTGGGGAAGGAAAGCCCGGTGAGAGCCCACGGAAGTAGCGACCGATGTGTGGGAAACTCTCTCGGGGTTTGCCACACTGAGGCCTGCCTGGCTAAAGGAAGTGAATCTTCTGAGCCGGTTTCCGTATAAGGAAGGAAGTGAATGTTCTAGCTAGAGCCATACAACTTAACTAACATTTTAAAATTGAATAAATAAAAGTATTTCATTAAAACAATATGTGTATGTATTGTAGCTCAGAAATTTACAGAATAAATATGAAATACTTTACAATCAGAAATCTCAATGGATCTTCTTCTTCTTCGTTCTTAATTTTTAGTGTTGGGAGGGATCGAGCCTTATCTGCAAGAGGGTTTGAACTCGAGAGTTTTTTCGAATTTATAAACCATGAGCTTTACCGACTCGACCATGCTTCCATCAAATTTAAGGATTACGTGTCAACTGGTTATGCGCCATTGAGGCCATTGACTCCGATTTCAGCCTGCTTTTCTTTTTGGATTTGCTTCCATAGCCTTTGTCCAACCAAGAACAAACTACAAGGCAGCAGTTGTTTGATTTTTAGAAGAGCGGCTGTCCCCAGCTATCGAGCCTCATCTGCCCGAGGGTTCGAACTCGAGACTTTTCGATTTAGCAACCATGAGCTTTACTGACTCGACCACGCCGACCCCTCTCAATGGATAAAATGCTTTTCACTGAGTAATACTTACAACCTGTACTACACTTTGTTTTCCATACAACTTTACCTAACCAATGCAACATGGCCAAAGTAATAAATTAACCCTACTAGAGTGCATCTGAAAATAGAACAATGACTATTCAATTTATCCATTACCAAATAAAATAACATGTCTAAAAATATTATTAAACTTCCACAGGAAACTTAAAACAAAATACTATGAAATTGGTTAACCTTTATGTAACAGACATAGAGTGTAACTGTAACTATATTATTTGCCTGCTGAAATGAAAGTTTTCAAGTCCATAGTTGGTAGCTCATTTTATAGAACTGACAAACTCCCATTTGTTGATAACATGACTTGTTTCTTTATACTCCTTTTTAAAGCCATTATGTAGTTTGCGAGAAAAAAAAGATTTCTGGGAATCAGTTCCACAATGAAGATTTCCATCCATATTTTCCTCTTCTTGAAATTATCCACTGCAATGTTTTGTTAATTTGATCATATTAACTCTCCAGACGCTAGCTTGCTGCGCAGAGGCGTAGCGACCCTTCCCGGCGCCCGGGGACAAACTTTTCGATTTGCACCCCCCCCTCAAGATTTCGATTTGCACCCCCCTCAAACGTTCGATTTGCACCCCCCCCTCAAGATTTTGATCAATTTATTTTCCCAACCCATTTTGGCGCCCCCTAAGGTCGGCGCCCGGGGACATATGTCCCCCCCCCCCCCCGCCCCCATCCCCTCCCTCGTTACGCTACTGTTGCTGTGACAAGGGACGGCTTCCTGGCTTGAATATTTTCTGGAGTCGGAATGGTCTCACCAACAGCTTCTGCTTTAATTATCCTTTCTGGTGGTGGTAGGGGTTTAGACTTGGCACTGAGTTTTGCTTTAGCCATGGCATAATCCCCAGAGTCAAAGTACTTTTGTTCTCCTTTCTGAAGTCTTTTATTTAAAAGAGCTGATCCACCTCCACCTTTTGCAAGATTTGGATACTTGGACTTAAGCTTTTCTTCTTCCCTCTGTTCAACCTGTTTTTGTCTTCTTGAGAATTTTCTTCATCTTCCCCTCTTACTGTTTCAAATGTCCTTTCTTCTCTAGCATCTGATGCCATCTTGCTAAATCGGGAATAATTTGCAATTGTGTAATTATAAATATTAATATTCCTTGTTGCTTCACACACTGTCGAGAGGTGAATCAAAATGGCTTTAGACTGACGTCACTGGTTAATATGAAAATTAGTAAAAAGGATTTTATCTCTTCCGAACAACAGCCAGCGCCCAATAATAGATTGTATACAGCAAAATTCTTAAAAAATTATGTATTTAATAAAGCTAGTGGTAAATAATTTGAAGTACAAACAGTTGTTTAATTCTAAAATATATAAACATATAGATTGTTTAAAATTATCGGATACGCATAGTAATAAGATTGTTTAATATAATATTTTATAATGAACCACGTTTTATAACTTCTTATTATTGATTTTCTTTAAATTTTAAATTATTTTGGGAACTTTGTTCCGGATTCTTTCCCCTGGTCACAATTCATTTAAAAAATAAAATTGGAGTTGTGAAACAAATATTTAAAGGTACATTCGTTTTTGTATTATTTGATTGTGTTATTCGTTTTGGATCATAACAGTCTGAGATGTTACAACAAAAATGTTTTTTTTGTGATAGAATACGGTTTCTTTTTTCTTCGAAACACACTCTGGTAAATTTTTAACTACTCAAAACAAGTCACTAATACTCAAAAATGGATTTAATGACATAAAGGTTGCAAATTGTATGTTGTATTTGTTTGTGAACTTGCACGCTTACTATTCTATAATTTTATAATTAGTACTGACTGTAATTTTGTTATTGATTAAAAGATTTTTTGGAAACAGCGCCACGTCTCTTTTGATGGTGATTTTTCTAGTCAAGAGAGACAACCATTTCAGATTTCATGGTTTTTATCCATCTGTAATACATCAGATTCAGATGATATCTAAAGATATGTAAGTAAACGACTTTAATCTATCATGTTACATAGACATAAAAATCACCTATTCACTACGAGGGGCGTTTGCGTCAGTTCTTAACATATCAACCACAGACACTTGATCAGGTAAATGCGTCAACACACTTTATATATTTTTTAGTTATGTCTTTATCTCTGTGTTGAATATTCTCTATACACGCCAATCCAGTGATTTCATTGGGCGAAAATAAAAAATATGCCGTACATTTGGAAAGTAGGACGTATGGAGGGGGTATAAATTGACACGCGTGGAGGGGGTACGAATTGTGACGTGTACAGAGGGTATAAATTGTGACGTGTACAGAGGGTATAAATTGGGACGTGTGGAAAGGGTATAAATAAAGGGGGTACTTACTTCCGGTCACTGCTCATTAACGTTTGGTCCGAACGAGATTTACACACCTGTTATACCATCGATGTAAAATAGCTCAATAACTCTCTAGATTCATGTATATTTTTATAAACTTCAGTTGTGTATAACTCAATCATCAATCTCAAAAAAAAAAGTTTATTTTTTTTCTACCCTCTTTTGTCGCCGACCAAGTATTAACACAGGAAGTATATACCCGCCTCTATACTACCATAAGCTGAGCAACTGCTTGTCCTATCCCCACGACAATTCTTTTACAAAGTGATCAAGATAGACAATGCTTTGATACACGTGTTGGGTAAAGTGATATTTAGGGAACGTGTACATGAACTGCTATAGCATGAGTACCATATTATAGGCATGGATTTAACAGGTCAGCTTCAACTACATTTGTTATAACCATTCAGTTTCTTCCAAGCATCTCCGAAGAAAGTCTACCGCCCCCCCCCCGAACAAAATGAAATTTATATAGAAAATATATCCTTTTAACAATGGCTGCTCTCCCCCCCCCCCCCCTCCCGGGAAAAAAAAACTCTGTAAGAACCACTGTATCCATTTCATAATAAAACCGGACATTCGTGATAAAACAATCTTTCACAACATGTTTTCCAAGTTGCCTTGTAGGCCTACTCTTTCAACATGTGCTGGTCTTAGCTGAAGCGAAAAACATTCTCTAAATTCACATAATATTTTGCTAAAAGACAAACAGATTAAAAAAATAATCTAACAAAGATATACCAAGTTCCTCGATAGTAAAACACGAAAAATTAATTACTTAGCTACTGAAGCCCGTCTTCCACCAGGATTAGATAAAGCCATTAAATTGTAATTAGTTTTTAATACTACAAAAGCGGATCAAGAAAACTCTTAAAACACATTAAGTTTCAAGTACAACGTAGAGAACGAAGGACTGGTATTGGGTGGTATATCATAACAAGCCTATCTCTTCCTCTATCGTCAGCTAGTGACGGTCTGGGAAAATTAAATGATGTATTAGCACGCAGACGCCGTAAGATATTTTGGCGGGGAAATTAGACAGACCATTGGAGAAAGGAGGGCCGGAAGTCCTATCTTGCTGGAAAATGAGGTAGTCAAGAGAAGATAATTAGGTGATTACTTGAGAGGATATTGATAGGATACAGTAAAAAATATCAACGAGAAAATAAATTACTGTTTATTATGACAAAGTTAAAAAAAAAATCTTTTGACGAGGTAGGAAGAAGCTAGTAGCGTGCACTTTTAAGTAGCCCCCCCCCCCCCACCTTCATTTCATCTACACTACTACTACAAAGGGGGAACTATTTCCATTAGACACGTGGTTTCTTATCTTTTATTCTCTTCTTTAAAATCCATCTAGACACGCCCATTCGGTAGGGTACAGTTAGACACGCCCGTGTTGTAGGGTCAAGCTAGACATGCTCATGTGGTAGTCCAGCTAGATACGCCCGTTTTGAAGGGTCATGCTAGACAGGCCCATGTGGTAGGGTCAAGCTAGACACGCCCATATGGTATGGTCAAGCTAGACACGCCCATGTGGTAGGGTCCAGCTAGACACGCCCATGTGGTAGGGTCAAGCTAGACACGCTCATGTGGTAGTCCAGCTAGACACGCCCATGTGGTAGTCCAGCTAGACACGCCCATGTGGTAGTCCAGCTAGACACGCCCATGTGGTAGGGTCCAGCTAGACACGCCCATGTGGTAGTCCAGCTAGACACGCCCATGTGGTAGGGTCATACTAGACACGCCCATGTGGTAGTCCAGCTAGACACGCCCATGTGGTAGGGTCCAGCAAGACACGGCCATGTGGTAGGGTCCAGCAAGACACGGCCATGTGGTAGGGTCCAGCTAGAAACGCCCATGTGGTAGGGTCCAGCTAGACACGCCCATGTGGTAGGGTCCAGCTAGACACGCCCATGTGGTAGGGTCCAGCTAGACACGCCCATGTGGTAGGGTCCAGCTAGACACGCCCAAGTGGTAGGGTCCAGCTAGACCCGCCCATGTGGTAGTCCAGCTAGACACGCCCATGTGGTAGTCCAGCTAGACACGCCCATGTGGTAGTCCAGCTAGACACGCCCATGTGGTAGGGTCCAGCAAGACACGGCCATGTGGTAGGGTCCAGCAAGACACGGCCATGTGGAAAGGGTCCAGCTAGAAACGCCCATGTGGTAGGGTCCAGCTAGACACGCCCATGTGGTAGGGTCCAGCTAGACCCGCCCATGTGGTAGTCCAGCTAGACACGCCCATGTGGTAGGGTCCAGCTAGACACGCCCATGTGGTAGGGTCCAGCTAGACACGCCCATGTGGTAGTCCAGCTAGACACGCCCATGTGGTAGTCCAGCTAGACACGCCCATGTGGTAGGGTCCAGCTAGACACGCCCATGTGGTAGGGTCATGCTAGACACGCTAATGTGGTAAGGGTACAGCTAGACATGCCCATGTGGTAGTCCAGCTAGACACGCCCATGTGGTAGTCCAGCTAGACATGCCCATGTGGTAGGGTCCAGCTAGACACGCCCATGTGGTAGGGTCAAGCTAGACACGCCCATGTAGTAGGGTCATGCTAGACACGCTAATGTGGTAAGGGTCCAGCTAGAAACGCCCATGTGGTAGGGTCATGCTAGACACGCCCATGTGGTAGTCCAGCTAGACACGTCCATGTGGTAGGGTCCAGCTAGACACGCTCATGTGGTAGGGTCATGCTAGACACGCCCATGTAGTAGGGTCATGCTAGACACGCTAATGTGGTAAGGGTACAGCTAGACATGCCCATGTGGTAGGGTCCAGCTAGACACGCCCATGTGGTAGGGTCAAGCTAGACACGCCCATGTAGTAGGGTCATGCTAGACACGCTAATGTGGTAAGGGTCCAGCTAGAAACGCCCATGTGGTAGGGTCCAGCTAGACACGCCCATGTGGTAGGGTCATGCTAGACATGCTCATGTGGTAAGGGTCCAGCTAGAAACGCCCATGTGGTAGGGTCCAGCTAGACACGCCCATGTGGTAGGGTCATGCTAGACACGCCCATGTGGTAGTCCAGCTAGACACGTCCATGTGGTAGGGTCCAGCTAGACACGCTCATGTGGTAGGGTCCAGCTAGACACGCTCATGTTGTAGTCCAGCTAGACACGCCCATGTGGTAGTCCAGCTAAACACGCCCATGTGGTAGTCCAGCTAGACACGCCCATGTGGTAGTCCAGCTAAACACGCCCATGTGGTAGTCCAGCTAGACACGCCCATGTGGTAGTCCAGCTAGACACGCCCATGTGGTAGGGTCAAGCTAGACATGCTCATGTGGTAGTCCAGCAAGACACGCCCATGTGATAGGGTCCAGCTAGACATGCCCATGTTGTAGTCCAGCTAGACACGCCCATGTGGTAGGGTCCAGCTAGACACGCCCATGTGGTAGGGTCCAGCTAGACACGCCCATGTGGTAGGGTCCATCTAGACACGCCCATGTGGTAGGGTCCAGCTAGACATGCCCATGTGGTAGGGTCATGCTAGACACGCTAATGTGATAGGGTCATGCTAGACACGCCCATGTGGTAGGGTCATGCTAGACACGCACATGTGGTAGTCCAGCTAGACACGCCCATGTGGTAGGGTCAAGCTTGACACGCCCAAGCGATACGCTGGTAGGGTCAAGCTAGATATACTAATTATATATTAACTGTCCCTGAAAAAGGGATCCAAAATTTGGTGTTGGAATTTTAAGATTAATTTT